GAAGTTTTGTTATTTCTTGTTTTTCTTCGCTTATTCATATGATCTAAACGTACTTTAGTAAGGTCAAATTTAAATTTTGGGGTATTGAAATTATTTAGGTTATTGGGAATTTCAGTTTCACATTTTTCATTAATTGTAAAATCGGAATTAGGAATTACTTTAAATGGGTTATTAAACTTTAATTTTAATGTTTTTTCACTAGAATTTAAAACTGTTGTATAAGGAAAACTACTTCGAGAAGGCTCTCAGGTATTTCTATGTTTCCAAGATTTTGATAAGGTAGTATTGCAATACCGTTGGAAACATTTGCAATTTTTATCTTTCCATTTTGAACACAGCGTGGGTGTGGATTGTGGGTGTACTATGATATAATTATTGTTATCTTTATTAAGATCCCATACAGCACAAGATGTCCAATGGACGTCAAATGGATTTACATTGGACGTTTGGATGTACAATGGCCGTCCATTGGACGTCCAATGGATATATGTGCTGTGTGGGATTTTTAAAGTGAATATTAATTTTAGTATTTGTCAGAATAAGTTTATTTTCTGTAAAATTAATTGTAGCATTAAAACGTTTTTAATTGTCCAAACCTAATAGGCAATCGAAATACTGATGAAATTAAAAAATATGAACTTTAAAATTTGAATTTCGAACTTTAAAAATTTTAGGAGGGGGAATGGTAATACTAAATTTTTCTTGACTTATACCGTGTACAGTGGAAATGGTAAAAGGGTTGTTACGAATAAATTTGGGAAAATATTTATTTGATATTTAAGGATTTATAAAGGAACGCGTGGAACCGGTATCTATAAGGCATTTAAGGTTTGCGTTTTTAATTGGAATTATTATATATGGAAACTGTGATTTTAAAAAGTCTATGTTCAGTGATTTATCAATCCGAAGCTTCTTTGTCCAAAAAAGGCTCCTCATGATAATTAATTTCGTCACAATTATTGTCATAGTCATTGTCTTCGTCAAATTCGGTTATTTCAACATTGGATGTTGAAGGTTCGTTTTGGGATTCTTCGATGTTATGGTAATTATTGTGGGGTCTGAAGTTATTTTTATAATAATTTTGATTAGGAGAATTTTGAGGAAGGGTGTTGCGAGTTGGTTTATTTGGTACAAAATTTGAATTCGGTTTAAAAACATTTGTTTGCGGTTTTTGTGTATTTTGGAAAGTGTTGGGTCGTTTAAAAACAAAGGTTGGTTGCTTATAACCAATAGCTAACGGTTTTTGTTTTTTTTTAAGTGTTTTGGTTAGGTAAATAAGTAGCTTTATCATTTATGTTAAAATCATTGGTTAGGATGTTAAGATCATCATTAAGATTAACTGTATTTCTTGTTGATAAATAGTCGCCAAGTGGCCCATTTAGATGTTTTAAGAAGACGCGCAAAGCAAGTTTTTGAGAATAACTAGCTAAAATTCTAATTTCGTTGGCTTCACCATATGTATTAATATAGCTATCTTGTAAGTTAAGGTTTTCTTGTATTTTATTATAAAATTCAAGCGGTTTCAAATTACCTTGCCTTAAGTTACATAGTTGAATTATAAGTGTTTGAATATCGCGTTTATTATCATTTGTAGCTAGAAGAGCTTTCTTTAAGTCGTCCCATGTTTTAATATTAAATGAAGCTATTTGCTCACCAGCATTGTCTTTAATTTTATTTTTAATGCATTTAATTAAATAAGTGTTAAAGAAATCTTCAGGTTGATCTTTTTTGTAGAATTTTTTGATCAACTGCTCACTGGCAGTGATAAATTCACTCAAGATTGCCTGATTTGCAAATATTCTTTTTTAAATTCGTCTGACATTTCTGTATTTAAATTTAAAGAATTATTAATTTGAAAATTTACGTTACTACGCGATCTTGATCGAGAACGATTTGAGTGACTTGAATTATTCGAGTCTGAATTAGTAAAATTGGTTGACATCTATGACTTACCAAAATAATAGCAACATACTCTGGAGGTCCTGGTCGTTTTGCCTGGAAGTCGCTCCTTTTCTAGAAACTTCGTTTTCTTCCTTAGAACTTGCACCTCAATGAAAGTCAATTCCGGACCGGTTGTTCACTGTTTTGGGAAAGTTCTTGGTTCGTTGGCAATTTAAAGTAATAAAACACACCGATTTTTTAAAGCAAAAGTCCTACGCAAAGGTTTACTATAATCGAAAATCGTTCGCACCAATCCCACAACGACTGCGCTAATTATATTTTCGGAAATCACAAACGAGTTTTTAAAAAAAATATTTTTATTGTTTATAGCTTTACAGTAAATCAAAGAGTGTTTTAAATTGTGTAGAACAAGTACTTTTATATGTTCGTATGCTGAGTCTGCAGGTTGGGTTTCAGTCAGCATATTCATGGACATTCTTTAACATAATTTTTGTATATTATGTCCGGAAAGTAGCCTTCTTTAAGGTTTTTGTTAATAATTTTTGAAATGGCAGGTGTATAGTTTTTATTTCATCATGGCCAGGACTATAGTTTGTTTTTAGATGGTTTATTACAAAAAAAATTCTTTTTTCCTTTGTGTTATGTAAGTACAGTGATTGCTCTGATCTAAAATATAGTGTATATTTTTTTGCTTTTGTTGGCTGGATTATGATTTCCACAATGTATATGAAGACAAAGTTTATTATACATCAGAAAACTTATCATTAGATGAAGCGTTACTCCTTTGGAGGGGAAGGCTAAAATTTAGACAGTATATACCAAATAAGGCTAGAAAGTATGGTATGAAGTTTAATGAAATTTGCACTCTTAATAGTTTTGTATTAGACTTATTGATATATTGCATAAAAGGTACCCTAAACAATGAGAAAGGCCATGCTTTTGAGGTGGTAAAAAGACTTCAAATATCTTTTGGAAAATAAAACATACATTTGCGGTACTGGAAAGACAATCTTCTATTAGTCGTAACCACAAAAAAGGGTAATCTCTTTTGGAAGAGAAAGGGGCAAATAAGAGTCTTAAAATGGCATGATAAACGGGACGTCCTTATGATATCAAGTAAACATAAATCAGACATGATAAAACCTAATTCAAAAAAGGTAGGATAGAAATATAAACCTAAAATGGTAGTTAATATAACATCTTCGTCCGAAGTTGATAGAGCAGACCAAATGACATTGTATTATTTTACTCCTAGAAAAACACTGGTACATAAAAGTACTCTTTCTCCTTATTTACCTATGCTTATGGAATGGAAATTGGCTGCTGAATAAAATCAATAACAAAAAAATGTCCTATCTTTAATATAGAGAAGAAATAATCAGAAAACTTTTGCATGTAGAATGTTCAAAACGAAAATCGAAAGTAGCTGCAGGAATTTTCAACACAAGGGAGACAAGAGAAAAAGGTGTAGACTATGCAGCCAACAAAAGTATGTAAGGATAATAAAGGATTATGTCCGTCTCCATGCTTTGACATATGGCATATAAATGGAAAACAGGATATTCAGGTTTTAGTAGTTTTTGGTTGATTTTGCTATATGTATATATACAATATAATATATTATGTGACCCTAGTTAAAATAACTCACAAATACTACATTAAAATAAATATTTTAGTAAAACATTAGGTAATACGAAATAAAATAGGTTGGTTTATAGCATCGTCAAATTTGCGAATAGCGGTCTTGAACGTGAACGTTCAGAAAATAAGGCAAAATTAAGAACAGATGCATAACCATAATTATTTGAAGAAAAAAATACATTATTATTTAATTGTATTTAAACAAAAAATATCGTAAAAATTGTATATTTTAAGTAAAAAACTTTTAGAAAAGATATCAAAATTAATATAAAAATTTCCGCAAGGCGATGAATGGTTTTATTAAAAAGCTAAGATTTTTTTACAAAAGCAGTACTGTTTGTATTTTTATAAAATGCTTTACATAAAAAAATAACGAAAAAGTGTTAAAAAAATATTTATTACTACGAAAGTTCTTAATTTTAGGAGCTCAAATCTTCAGTGAGTCATTATTTTTATGTAGAGAATAATCCACGGGGTTACACCCCAAAAAAAGTTATTTGGTGGAATGACCCAACTCAAAATTATTGTTATTAAGGTAGCTGTCGTGCTGTAGGCATACCATCAGAAAATTTTAAAATTTTTTATACTTATTAAGGACATGACAATACAATTATCCTTAAAATTGAAGTCGATTGACTGTCTATAACCCGAGATAAATTCAATTAAAAATTGGATAATTAACATGAATTGTATACGCTTTCTGTAGTTCTGTACCAGTTTCTTAGTTATAAATAAACTAACTGTCAGAAGCTTTAAAAAACTAACAGTCTTTTACTGTATTTTTGCTGAGTTTAAAAAAAATAATAAAAATTTTTTGACCCTCCAATTGTTTATAAATAACCGTTTAAAGTTCAACAATTTGTAAAAAAGTATACATACTAGTAAGTCAGATAAAAACAACTTGGCAACGCTGTACGCGAGTATAGATATTATTTGCGCAGTAAATTCAAACAGACTGATTCAGTCTCCAATATATCTATTAGTTGCGCATAAGCGACGTTGCCGGATTAAGACTTATGAAAATATGTGAAAGTATTACGTATAGGTAACGTCTCCAAGGGTGCAGTCTTGCGAAAAAATGATGAATCACTTAGCTACAAACTCGTATACTTTTACGGTGCGTATAATCTAAAAATTTTTGACAAAATTGTACCACGACAACTACCTTAGCTAATATTTTTTTAAGTTTTTTTAGCTTTAATAACGTTTTTTAAATTATTATTATTTATTGTTTTATCTGTTTAAATTTAAATTGTTGCTAATTTTTTGGTTTATTTTATAAACAAAATGGTTTGTTACTGTCGAACTCTCCAAGATTGTTATATAAAGTATAATATTCTGCAAAAAATAACCTGCTGTATAAAGAGAGCAAATATACATATTTATAAAAATTATTTACGTATAATTATTTATTATGGTTATTATTTTTTTATTATAATTTTTTTTTTTAATTTTAGGTTCTAAAAAGACATTCACAAAAAGTATACGCATCACCAAGTAAAAGAAGAATGGATACAAAGGGTGAGGTAGAAGAAATAACTTATCCCCATATTTGTTTTATGGTAGATAATTTTGACGAAGTCTTCCATGACATATTGGTTAGAGATGGTGAAATGGTTTGTGTTGAGTTAGTGGCTTCAGATAGATCTGGCTCTGTACAGGGGGTTATATTCTTAGGATCCATAAGATATGACGCTCTTAAAAAAGTTTATGATGCTAGGGTAATAATTTCAATAAATTATATGAATTTTTATTTGTTCATATTTATTATTTAGTAAATATTATTTACTAAAGGGTGTCTCCACAAAAACATTTTAGAATTGTCCCTTAATTGTCTATATACTAGTGCTGAACATTCGATCCGGATCCTTTTTCAATCCGGATCAGATCCGGATCTGATCCGGATTTTTCAACGTGCATAATCCGGTTCCGGATCTATCCGGATATAATACTCCGATTTTAGATTCGGAACAAAGATCCGAGATCCAAATACTGGATCTTTGTAGTGCTAAACATCAGATCCAGATCTTCTTCAATCCGGATCAGATCCGGAGCAAAGATCCGAAATCCGAATACACAACTGCGTAAAAGAGTTTTTTCTCAACAATATGCTTATAATTAATAATAATAATATAATTTATAATATATATAATATCATTTATTAGTTAATTCTAAGTCTATTTTCTCCATACAAAAATATCTGGCTGCTTCTCTTTTAACAAAAACTACGTCGATTGTTCACCAAGACAAACTTAAGATGTCATAATATGGAAATTCTTCATTGCGAAATAAAGTTAATAATTTACAAATTAATTATTATTTTTGATATCAAAGATTCTTATTTTTGACTATTATTTGCTATTTGATCTCTTTTTAAGAATATTAAATATAGGTACTGTACTGTAGAATATTTGTTTTGTTTATAATACAATAATGTTAAAGTATTTAATAAGATCTGAGATCCGATATCCGGATCTCGGATCCGATATCCGGATCTTAGATCCGGATATCGGATCTCAGATCTGAGATCCGAATCCGGTTCCTTCATTTAAATCCGGATACGGATACATCCGGATCCGTTTTTTTTCAAGGATCCCCGATCCGTAAAAAAATCGGATCCGTGCACTACTACTATATACCCCTTAATTAAAAAAAAAATTAAAAAAAAGACGATAGAAGGTTATATTTTAATATTTTGCTAACAGTCACTTACTACCAAAACACATATTCACACATAATTACAATTGTTAGAATGAACGCAGTGTCGTAGAAACAGGGGTTGCTTAAGCTTATTGTCCCATACAAACTTTGAGATTAGGTTTTTATACCACTTGATGCAATTTTTCGATTACTCAGTTCGGCTACTATTAAAAAGGTGTACCTCTCAAACTTCGATAAAATAAACCGTTTTCGAGATATTCGAGATTACAATAATTGTTATATCGCATTAAAGGACTAAAAGGTATATGATAACAAATTTTTTTAATTGAAAAAACTACAATTTTTTTTTAATGTGACGGTCAGGGCAAAAAGTCTCAAGGCTCATGGAATGCCCTTTTTAGTTTTTTCCATTAAAAAATAAAATTTGTTATCATATATGTATATGTATATGTATTTCTCCCTTAACTTTAAAAACCATGTCCCCAGTGTATAAAAGCCTTAAAAAGTTATCCCTCTTAAACTTTTTTGCAGTACATGTTGTAGGCGATCCTTGCTAACAGAAAAAAGTACATTTAATGTAAGTCATTTATTGGTGCATTTTGCAGAAGACGACAAACATGCAAAATGTCACTTCTGTCCCTGTCCCCAGTTCGAAAACTTCAACATTAACCGTATTTTGCCGGTAAAAATAATTCCTTAAAAAGCTGCGTTTACTTAAAAAAAATGTTATTACGTTTATACCCTACAAGAAAATGTGCATATCTTGCGAAAAAAAAGGAATAAATTTAAATTGTGAGCAAAATAAATTTGTCCCCACTGTTTTAGGTCACATCTGTCTCGCTTAATAATAGCATTCCTGCCCGTTCATAGATGGCACTGCCATCTAACGTCATTGCCTGAACAGTTTAGTTCTCTATGGTGTTCAACGGTGAAATGTTGTTTTCGTTCCGTTTTTAGAATTTTTTGGTGAAAAAACGTGACAAAAAGTAAAAAGGTATGTAAAAGCTATTTTCAGTCCTTACTGTCCCTTGACAGAAATGTATTAATTATGTCAATTTGACGATCATTGGTACTTTTTTACTAAAAACAGATGAAACTGCAAACAAATTCAATCATAATTGGAAGGTAAACCTAACCTAAAATTTTTAAGGGGAGGAAAACGTTACAAATGTCACATCTGTCCCATGTCACTTCTGTCCCTGTTTTTAATTATTTTAAAAAGGGACAGATGTAACTTAAGTGGACAGAAGTGACACTAATAATAAACTTTTTTGTGCACTAACAAAAAGTAGACAATACTGATAAAGTCGTTGATTATACGCAGTGAGATTAATTTGGACAGTACCAGAATTAGAAATTGTAAGAAGGCTTACTTTATTGCAAATTAACATTTGTAGGAGATGGATATTTCATCAAATCGAAACAAGATTATTGATATTGAAAGCTTGACTGGGAGACTAAGAATATTAAAAAACGAAGCCGCCGTGAAAAGAAAAGAAAAAGAGAAGGCCAAGTATGAGAAAAAAAAGCGAAGGGAGAAGCAAAGATACTACAAAAAAACAAGCGCAACTTGCCATACAAAAAGTACGCGATATAAATATTTTAACTCCTGGGTGCTCGTCAACATTACCAGAAGCGCAGAGCTCGGAGTCAGCTTTGTTGAGGTCGACAGTGTCAAAAGTTTTAGTTTTAAAAATATTTTTTTTACTTAAAAATAACAAAAATTATAACATTTCAGGGATCTAAGATAACAAAAAAAATAGCTAAGACAAAAACTCGACCCAAGATAAATAAAGCCGTTTCAACTGAGGAGAAGAGAAGAAAAGAAAGGGCAAAGAAAAGGAGGCAGCGACAAAAATTAAAGGAAAACAAGGAAAAACACAAAGAATATTATAAAAAAGAAAGAGAAAATTATCAGAAAAAAAAGAGTTTAGGAAAAATTAAGTTGATAGCTGAAATGAACAAAAGGGAACAACGCCTTCAAAGAAAACAGTGGCGTATGAGACAACATAAACGCCAGATGAAACTTAAAAACGTTGAAAATTTCCGCCAGTCCGCCAGAGAGCAGAGCAGTTACTCCCGATAATCAAAGACCAGAATCTCCTGTTGTTTTAGATTTATCTGTCAATGAAGGTTTAAATCAAATACCTGGACTAGAAAAATCTGATCAGAGAAAAACACCTAAACGAACACCCAAAGAAGCATTGTCAAATACTGAAAATACAAAACTTACTAATAAACTAAAACAGGCAGAAAGGCTATTAAATGAAACACAGCATAAACTTAACATTGCAAAAGCCAAAGCTGAGCGATATAAAAAACAGCTACAAAGGGAGCATAGAAAATTACTTCGAAAATCTTCGACAACACCGACTCTAAATACAAAAGTTGATGGTATTATACAACGAGGAGATACAAAAGAAATAAAAAAACAGTTACTGTTTGGTGAAGTTTTGCAGGAACAAATCAAATCAAACCTGCAATCATGTTCTACCGAAGTTGAAAAGCAGATAGCCAGTAAAATAATTAGCGGTAGGGTCGCAAAAAATACCGAGTAGCTGGAAAAATGAACAGTTTAATTTCCAACCATCGATACAACAGATCACTTCGTCAAACAGAGATAATGCCATCTAGAAAAATACGAATGGAAGAATATGCTCGAAAAATCAAAAAACTGATGTTTGATTTTTTTGTCAGTGATGAAGTTTCAGTTCAAACTCCGGGGAAAAAGAATTGTATTACTGTGAGACAACAAAAAATGCAAAAAAGGTTTCTTAATGACACCCTAACAAATTTGTACAAGAAATTCATAACTAATCATCAGAAAGTAAGCTTTTCTACATTTTGTCGGTACAAACCATTCTGCAGACCCATGGGTTGTAAAACCTACTGTTAATGCTAGAAATACTTGTCTCTGCATCAAGTATGCTAATTTTACGTTTTTATTGAAAGAAATGCAACAACTAAACCAGTTTTCTACTAAAATAAACTCAGTTGATGATATTTTAGAAAAAATTTGTTGTGAAAGTAGATCAGACCAGTGTGTAGCTCGGCAGTGTGACAGCTGTTTCTGAGGAAAACGAAAAACAAAACATTTCATACTTTAAATGGGAAACAAAAATAGAAAAAAGAATAGATAAAAACAGAAAAGAAGTAGAAGTAAAAGTTCAAACCAAAGTGTGCATTAAAAGTACCATAGAAGATCTCCGTAACTGTTTTAAAAGTAGCTTAAAAATAATTTTGCCCCATCACTATCGAGCAAATCATCAACAAAATCAGATTCGTTTGCTCCGAGATCAAATAACACCCAAAAGAAGCAATTATAAATATAGATTTTTCGGAAAATTACATGTGCAAATTTAATGAGGAGATTCAAAGTGTACACTTTGGAGGATCTCGAAGGCAAATCTCTCTTCATAAAGGAGTTATTTATCTTAAAAACAGAAATAATGAACTAAAGTCAAGTCAAATCCAAGCCGAACTCGACATAAACACAATCATGCGTTGTCCATTAGGCTGGGCCGAAAAAGGCAAAAAAAAATTATTTTTTGAAATCTTACTTGGCATAGTAAAAAAAAGTTGTAAGGGGGGTAGACAGTTTAGTTGATTTTTTTTCAAAATTTAAAAAAATGTTTTAGCCTCGCCCCCGGGGGGCTAAAAATTTTTTTTTTCAAATTTAAATTTTGGATTTGGCATAGCAAAAAACTGATAGGTATCGGCTCACTTGCGACACAAAAAAAATCTGGTTAATATATTTTAATTTTTAGCCGCGCCCCTTGGCATTTTAAGTTTCAATATGCAGCTCTTTGCTTGAAAAAATGATGATATATCATATATGATTAAATCGCGCACCAAAATTATTTTATTTTATATCAATCATCATTTAGTCAACCCACAACTCACCACGGGGAGTTGCACCCTCCCTTCCATGCCTTATTATAATAATATACTTGTTTTTACTTTTCAACATTGTAGTATTGTTTTTTTATTATCGAACATGGGTAAATTTTTTCTTGCCTCTATTTTAACCCTTATAAAACCGTCTCTTGAAGAGTGACCACAAACTTTACTGGATGCTTCGGTTATAATCTTTACGCATCGCTCCACAGCTTGAGTGTGACTTGGTAATTTGCTAAAATTAATAAAAGATTTATTTTCAATTGCTGCTAACAAATCTTCGCTTTTGATATCAATTGTTAGTGGGGGCTCTGTAATACAACATTCACTCCAATCTATCATTTCGGTATAGTCTTTGGCATTCCAATTTAAAGGTGGTATTTTAAATATTCGTAATTTTTTTTCTGCTGGTTGTTTTTTAGTCTTTAATATGCGTCGTATACCAAGTTCCCTAATATGACTTCTCTCGTCAGCAATCATAGCTATCAGAATATTCTCGGGATGGGCGAAATACGCGTTAGTTGAAATTACTTTATCAATAATTGTTTTGACTCCTTTAGGAAGGCCCCTTGACTCACTAATGGTTTTCCATAAATGTACCGAACCATATTTAATTGAAGATTGCGTTTTTATATTGAACCACATAGGTGCGTACACTTTCATAATAAACTGCACTAAAAGAAGTAAGTTCTCAGAAGGACTGCAAGTGGTCACATACAAGCGCAGTATTCAGAAGCTATGTCGCAGGCAGTACCAAATATTGGAAAAGTGTCTGCTTTCCTAGTTTTAACTTTATCCATATTGTTTTTAAAATAGATAAACCAAAAAACAAAACACCACTTAGTCTTATTGCACTTATTATATAACTAAATTACACCTATTATATAGCTAAATTGTACTTATTATATAACTATAACTTAACTAAACTATAATTAAAGGAAAGTAATTATCTGTGCCCAAAGTACACTTATTTCACAACGCGTTAAAATTACACTGTATCATTCATTTATATCACTTGTTTCAGTGGAAGGCGCCACGCAATTTCCACATGGCAGCAATAAAAGGGTGGTATTTATTTAGGTAACCTCTTTTGTTTACAATAGCGGGCTCGGTTATACGATGTTTAGTAAATATTAAGATTTTTATTCATTTCTTTTTCGGCTATAAGTGAGTAGGAAATGATCTATTTTCTTATGACAAGACAAAAATATAATATTTTAAAATATACCTGTTTTAAGGTCCCAGTGGCAAGGTTAAATATTAAAATGTTTTAATCATTTTGTTTTTATGTCGTAATTGAGTTGACCCTACCAATTTTTTGGTATGCCAAACTGTGGTATTAAAAAATTATTTTTCATCCCCAGTTAAACGTCATGGGGCGCGGCTAGAAATTAAAATATATTAACCAATTTTTGCGTGTGTCATAAGTAAGCTTATATCTATCAGTTTTATGCTATGCCAAATCCAAAATTTAAATTTGAAAAAAAAAAAATTTTTAGCCCCCGGGGGCGAGGCTAAAACATGTTTTTAAATTTTGAAAAAAAATCAGCTAGGTTGTCTACCCATGTTACAACTTTTTTTTACTATGCCAAGTGAGATTTCTAAAAATAATTTTTTCGGCCCAGCCTATTGTCCATGCTCTATTCACGTGATCGACGAAAATTGTTGCACTGGGCCGTATTAAAATATATTGAATCAATATTATTGATCATTTAATATTTTAAATTTATTTTTTAAACTTTGATGGAAAGGTGTTAAAATATTTATAAAAGTTATATTTTTTAAATGACGAAATTAACAAAATTTTGGGAAATAATTTCATTATTATTTTAAATTTATTTTTTTAAACTTTAATGTAAACTTTTTAAATTTTTTACGAAAATTATATTTTTTAAATTAACTTCACGAAATTTTTTATTTGTTTTAAATTTATTGTTTTAAACTTTAATAATTAAAGTTTAATGAAAACATTTATAATAACCTCTTTTATTTCCACACTTAAGTGATTTCTTTTGGACCGTTTTTTAACTGGGCTTAAGTCCTCAAAATGTTCAGCTTCGTCTGTGCTAGACATCGCACTTAATTGAATAATAATAATAACAATAAAAACCAAATAACCAAAACAATGATAGCAATAACAACAACAATAACAACAAATAACGTTATATAACAAGTATTAATAATAAAACAATAACAAAAATAACCACAAAGATGAAAGCCGCGAAAACAAGGAAGTAATCAAACAATACGCTATTAATAACCGCAATGGACATAATGCGGCCCTGGCAAGAATTTTCGGCACGCTTCACAACCTTGAATCGCCCAATAAGAACCGTTCTATCCACCTGCAAACGACTGATCACGCGCCTGGCGTTTTTTGTTTTAGTTTGTCTTGGATTTGACTTCACTTTAGACTGTATCTCGTTTTGTGATGTGTCAAATGATTTACTTCACAATGCATGTGCAGTGTGGGCCCATCTTAAACCGGTTTTAAATTTGTTACTTGAAAGAAGAATTAGTATTTTTCATTTTGTTAGTGATGGACCAACATCACAATATAAAAATAAAAGAAACTTTCAGCTAATGTGCTATTTTGCTACATTTTTTAAAACAGAATTTCTTACATGGAATTTTTATGAACCTGGACATGGTAAAAGTGTGGCTGATGGTGTTGGAAGGGCACTTAAAAGAGTCGCTGATCAAACAGTTAGCCATGGGAATAGCATCACATCTGCGACAGATTTCATTGAAAGTGTTAAAAAAAATAATAGTAAAATATTATTGTATGAAGTTACAACCGGTCAAATAAATGAGATTATTGAACTGTCAAAAGAGATCGCCACAGAAAAATCAGCCTCAGTTCCAAATACCATGCAAATACGTCAAGTTATTTGGTCAAATAAAAAAAAAGAGTAAACTAAAGTTAAACCATAGAAGCTGTTTTAATTGTAACACAAAATCTGCATGTGATCATTTTCTATTAAAACTATCAGAACATTCGTTTGATAAACTGCTTTTAAACGATTTTGGCACTTCCCTTGATTCGGAACGTTCGACAGAGAGATACACTTTTGATAGTGATTCAGTGCATAAAAAAAGCCAGATGTAGAAAAAGAAGACCTATCTCTGCCACACGTTATCAATAAAATGACTCCAGAATATGACATTACTACAACACACAAAGAAAATATGGAATTAAGTGATGAAAAATATGACATACCTTTATCATATTTTAAAAAGAAGATGATTTCAGAAAATTGTAACCACGTCATGCATGTAAATAAAGCAGAAATTAATGAAGATGACTACTGATCCGATTTAAATCAGAGTTAAAGCAAGGAAGCAAACCTTTAAAATACATATGTCAAGTAATAGAAACTGAAAATAAATTTGAGGGAACTTTTTTACGGAAGAGGTCCACCAGAGATTTTCAAGGATTTGTCTATGGATTTCCAGACGTTGTAGATATTTACGAATTCAGCTACGAAGATGTAATGGGAAAACTGGAAGAACCAGAAAACTATGGCCGTGGATTATTTAAATTTAAAATTGATACCAGTGCTGAATAATATGTTTTAAATACATTAAGCCTATGACTGTTTTCTGTTTTGTAGAATGTTACTCTTTTTGTTTTTCTTTAATGTTGAAAAAAACTTTTTTATGTTTCAACTATAGTAAACCAATTAAACTTATAATTTAGTAGTTGAATTACGTTGTCACACCTGTCCTAATCTTGGTCACTCCTGTCTCCATATGATTTTTGCCAATAAAACATTATTTTGTAATGTTGCAGTTATTTTCACTTCCAAAATTTCTCTATATAACTCTAATTTAGTAATAAAAAACATGCTGTGGTCAAATTAAGTAGTTACTCATTCAGTAGAGAAAAATTAAATTAAAAATATTTATCTATATCTTTTTTTTTGCATTTGTCACCTTATTTTTTTACAGTTCCTTGAAAACTGTTAGAGTAAAATCTAAAAGCGATCAAAAGACTTGGTCTTCTATCGAAATTATTTTAGTTTAAGACGTAATGTTATTTAGATTACGAATTATAGTGTAAAAAAGTCAAGGGGACAGAAGGGACATTTATAATGAACTAAACATTTTGCCAGTCACTTGCCAATAAAAATTATTACTTGCTTTGTATATGAACATTCATTTTGCATAATTTAAACCGTAAAAAATCATTTAGAGAAATTTACTGCAACGTATTGCAAAAAAAATAAAACTGTAAGTTTTTCTTCATTTTTTAAAGTTAAGGGAGAAATATATATACATTTTAATACTTTTAAATAATGCGATATAACAATTATTGTAATCTCGAATATCTCGGAAACGGTTTATTTGATCGAAGTTTGAGAGGTATACCTTTTTAATGGTAGCCGAACTGTGTAATCGAAAAATTGTATCAAATGTTATAAAAACCTAACCTCAAAGTTTATATGGGACAATAAGCTTAAATCAACCCCCGTTTCTACGACACTGTGTTCACACAAACAATTGTAATTATGTGTGAATATGTGTTTTGGTAGTAAGTGACTGTTCGCAAAATATCACGTTTCCAAGACTACCATAGTAGAAGTTATATTAAAAAAACTGATATGATAGGTAACACTTTCTCACCCTGTATCTTGGAAACATAAGTAATTAGGAAAAATATTTATTTAGGTTTTCGTCTTATTTTGACTTGCTCAATCTTTTCCTAAATTTATGCCAATAAGTTTAGGGGCACCTTGTATATTCTGAAACGATTTAACAGTTCTTTAGCTACGATAGATAAATCATATCTGGTAACAATTTTCATCCAATCGCGTATTTTTTTTATGCTATAACAGTAATAAGTTTCCTTAAGTTATATGATCTAAAGGCCATTTAATTTATTAAAAAAATTGACATAAGTAACATAATAAAAAAAATAATTTTGTTTTATTTTAAGCAATCCAGCTTGGGAACAAAAATGGCACAAAGAATGACTTTTGGTTTATTTTCCACTTCAGCTACTCAACGATGTGAGTTTGTTAGGATGAAAGGTCCTCAAGGCAAAGGCCATGCGGAAATGGCAGTAACAAAACCAAAAGGTTCGGGGGTTGAAACTCCTACATCGGAACCTGGGTTTTGCGCAACGGACATGTGGGATTCCGATTGGGAAGAAGATCCTGAAGATTTTTATGTATATAGGTAGGACTACAACTAATTTGGTTAATTTAAATTTATTTTGATTAAAATCCTTAAACACAGTATACATCTATAGATAAAATTGCACTTTGTGCATTTTGTGAGCTCTCAGTAAAACTTTATCATATACCATTTTTTTACAGAAATCAAAGGAGGCTAAGCGATCCAAGTGCTAACATAAATAATTTTGTACGTGGTGGGTGGAAATCTAAATTAGACGTTAAAGCCAGATCTGAAAGCGAGGGACTGGACTATATAGATAATGGTGTTAGTGAAATTGAAGCAGGCGATCTTAGAGATGGTAAGATTTAGAAAAATATAATTAACAAAACAAACTAAAGTTTAAAGTCAAAAACTACCTTTAACCCTTAACCACCGACATCATGTATTCATCACCCTATTACCGCCGTGCGGTCACAGTGACTGCTGCCTTTTATTTAGCTTAATTTACACTCATTTGCCATTTTTTAATACTTTTATGGAATAGGTCCACTAAGATATAAATTAAAGGAAAAAAATAAAGTAAAAAATTTATTAACACAAAAAAAGTATGTTTACATTGGTAAGCATTTATTTTCCCAAGTTAATAGTTGACTTTTTGTAACAAAAACAAAAAAAATAAATATTCAAGAAAATAACAAAAATCACACGCTCCAAAAGTTACAAATTTTGTTTGCAATTTACGCACAATTTTGCACTGCAATAAAGTAATGAAATAAAAAAAAATTATTAACACAAAAAAGTATGTTTACATTGGTAAGCATTAATGCTGGAAAATCAAATTCTATTTTTTTATTACTCAATATAAAAAAATATTTAAAAAATATCAACAAAATAATACTAATACTAAGTACACTAACGCCGTCGTGCGGTCACAGTGACCGATCGCAAATTTTAATTGGTTATAAAAAGTAATCTAACTGATGCACCACCGCTTGCTTGCAGTACTATACTGGTAACAATGCCGATTGAAGGTATTAACGCTGTAGGCGTTATCTTGAGGGTGGGGTGAAATAAACACCAATCATAATTCGGCTGCGGTCATCATGACCGGACGACGGTGGTTAAGGGTTAAAACACGATATGGACTAATTTTATTTCGCAATAATTTCCTTATGTCTAAAACTCCCCCCCGGACAACATTCGTGATATTCATACGAACATCACTTCGTGATTTTCACAAATTTTATTCATACTCATATACGGAAGTCACCGCGTAATAAATGAAAATCATACGAACGTCACGTCGTGATTTTCACAAATTTTATTCATAAGGACATCATCCGGATGTCACAGCGTGAGAAATGCAAATCATATCGTGATTTTTTATGCCATCGCTGTTTGCGATTGACCGATGGCACAAAAAACCATGTCGTGATTTTTTATGCAAACGTTGTTTGGATAATCATTTTCGCGCCACGTTCGTTCACTAAGAGAAAAATTATGTTGAATCAACAGTTTTTGCGGTTAAATACATTTAATATTTTCTTGGATTTAAATTAACTATATATAGTTAATTTAAGAGAAAAATTATGTTGAATTAACAGTTTTTGCGTTTAAATGCATTTAATATTTTCTTGGATTTAAATTAACTATATATAGTTAATTTAAATACAAGAAAATATTGAATGTTAAACTGTTGATTCAATTGTTAACATACTTTTTCTTTCAATGTACGAATGTGGCGCAAAAATAAATATCCAAACATGTCGGTGCACCGATGGCATAAAAAATCATGTCGTGATTTTTTATGTCCAAACACCGATAGCATAAACAATCATGTCGTGATTTTTTATGCCATCGGTGTTTGGATATTTATTTTTGCGCCACATTCGTACATTGAGAGAAAAAGTATACCTACATACATATATATTGAATCAACAGTTTTTGTGGTTAAATACATTCAATATTTTTTTGGATTTAAATTAATAGTTAATTTACATCCAAGAAAATATTAAATGTATATAACCGCAAAAACTGTTAATTCAATTGTTAACATACTTTTTCTTTCAATGTACGAATGTGGCGCAAAAATAAATATCCAAACATGTCGGTGCACCGATGGCATAAAAAATCATGATTTTTTATGCTCAAACACCGATAGCATAAACAATCATGTCGTGATTTTTTATGCCATCGGTGTTTGGATATTTATTTTTGCGCCACATTCGTACATTGAGAGAAAAAGTATACCTACATATATACTGAATCAACAGTTTTTGTGGTTAAATACATTTAATATTTTTTTGGATTTAAATTAATAGTTAATTTACATCCAAAAAAATAATAAATGTATTTAACCGCAAAAACTGTTAATTCAATTGTTTACATACCTACATATTGTAGCGAGTACCGCTCTGGATATCGGAGTGATGACTCATCGCCGATGAGTCATCGCCGGTGAGTCAGCGCTCGAATAATCGAGAGTATGGGGCTCGCTAGAATGTTCCAGAAGACGTAGGCGCTGAATATATAAGGAACGACGCATCATGGAGAGTTAGTTGAGCTTTGGTACTCGCGAAGAAATAAATAAATATAAGTGCAAATAAATAAACTAGTAGTGATATAAATAATAATTATTAGTAGTTAAGTGTTTAGTTAGTTTTATAGTGTTTTAAGTGTAGTTAAGTTATTAAAATAATAGTTTAGTTCGTTAATTAACCAGTGCATGTTTTAATTCACACTACGAACAGTTAAAATCGTTACAATTGGTGTCAGAAGTGGAATTAGTGTGCAAGTTCGCGAAAATGGTTTCGTTAATGGACTTAAAAGTAGCGGACCTTAAGCGGGAGCTAGAAGAAAGGGAATGTGATACAACTGGGAAAAAGAATGTGTTGCAGCAGCGGCTTCGAGAAGCGTTGGAAGAGGAAGGTAAACATCCAGACGAGTATTTATTTGAAGGCCCTTGTGACATGCATTTAATGTTGCAAAATTTACAACAAAAGATTCTGGAAAATTACAACGAGTTGCAACAGAAAATTCTGGAAAATTCTAGCTGTTTGAAAGTCGATTTACAACAAAAGATTCTGGAAAATGTTAACGATTTAAAGGATGATTTGCAACAGAAAATGGTAGAAAATTCTAGCGATTTAAAAGTCGATTTACAACAGAAAATGCTGGAAAATTCTAACGAATTACAGCAGAAAATTCTAGAAAATTCTAAAAATTTAAAAGAATTTTTAGAACAGAAGATTCTAGATAATGTTAATGAATTAGAAGAAAAAGTGGGACAAAAAGTTGACGACGTAAGGATGGAACTAGAAGAGAAAGTGGTGCAGAAAGTTGACGACATAAGGACGGAATTGAATGAGAAATTGGAAGTCAAAATTAAAGAAATAAATAGTAAACTGACAGCTGTAAATCTACCCATGATGTTGGCGGAACCAGGAACAATGCCGGAGGGGAGCCGAGTACGAATGAAACCACCTCAGTTCGATGGAAAATCTTCTTGGACAAATTACATTCGTCAGTTTGAGGCAGCTGCAAAAGCAAATGGCTGGCTACCAGAAGAAAAAGCTACAGCATTGACTCTTGCTTTACGTGGAGATGCAACCGACATCTTGCAGACACTTTCTCCCAACGAACAAGAAGATTACGAAGTGTTGGAGAAACATCTGAAACTGCGATATGGCCAGACACATTTGGAACATGTCTACCATTCCCAACTTAAGAACCGCTGCTAGAAATCAAACGAGACTTTGCAAGAATTCGAGGCTGATATTGCACGCTTGGTTCGGCTAGCATATCCAGCTACTCCAACGACCGTTATGGTTAGCGGTTCAAGCCTTTTTGGATGGACTTCGGGACAACGAAACAAGACAGGCTCTGACGTTGGCTCGTCCGAGCCAACTGGTTGATGCATTGGCTCGAGCTTTGGAATTCGAGGCGGCAAAGCAGAGCTGCAGGAGCCAGCATAGAATTAGGAGAGTCGAGGAAGAAAAAGAGGAGGAACCCAGTATAATCGAAGAAATCAGGCGAGTTCTTAAAGAGAATCTGGTTGCAGATGTGGAAAGCTCGGACATATACGAAGTCGTTGCAGAAAAAGCCAGGAGGCGCCGACTTCATCTCAGTCGGAAAACTAGATAGGGTCGAGGAAAAGGGGCTACCGTCGACCTGTAACCAGCATGCCCCAGAGGATATCGAACGTGTTGCATCTCTTCTACACCAGTCCAGCAGTGTTTTTGTGGATGGTTTAATTAATGAAAAATTACATGTGCTGCTGCTGGATACAGGTGCGACGAAGACAATTATTAGGCCAGATATTGTCGAAATGTCCAAGATCAAACCTACCAATCGGTGACTACGTACTGCAACAGGAGAAACCGCTACTGTTCGTGGAGAAGTGGACATCACGATGGTCATAGGAAATACGAAATTTAAACATCGAGCATTAGTTGCAGATATTGAAGATGAAGTTATTGTAGGCATGGACATTATGAACTCTTTAGGATTTGAATTGGACTTTAAGCAAGGAATATTGAGGGTAAATGGAGAGGAAGTCGTGTTGCAGCGATCTAAAGAAAAGAATATTCGTGTAATGCTAACAGAAGATGCTTTGATACCGGAACACAGCGAGATGATATTGAAGGCTTTCTTGGATTGTAAATCGGAAGATGGAAGTATAATGCTTCTGAAGCCGAGAATTGATGACAAAGAGGTCGGTCGAGGAATTGTAGTAGGGAAGACTTTAATACGCGTGGGAAAAGAAGTGCCTGAGTATTGAATGTTAATGGTTACTTTGTGAACTTGAAGAAAGGAATCGTTTTGGGAAACTGTTCTTCAGTTTCCTCGATTATTAGAGGCTTTCGTGAGTCTGCAGTTCCGGCCAAGAAAGTTTGCAATGAATTGACGAATCTTCTGTCGACTTCTTCAAAGAATATGAAATTCAATGAAAGGATAAATCTTAAAGAGCTGATTCACAATTATCAGGATATCTTTGACGACGGACAAGGAAAAAGGGTAGGACGAGAATTGTCCAGCATAAAATTAACACCGGTGATGCACAGCCCATTCGACAGTCGGCAAGAAGGCTACCACTTGTCAAGCGAGAGGAAGCTGATAAAATTGTGCAAGAAATGGAGAAGGAAGGGGTGATCGAACCATCCAACAGCCCAGGGTCTTCCCCAGTGGTGTTAGTTAAGAAAAAGGATGGATCAACTCGATTTTGCTTCGATTTTCGTCAGCTGAACAACCTGACGAAGGACAGCTACCCTCTGCCTAGGATAGATGACACCCTGGATACATTGGCTGGATCCCAAATATTTTCGACTTTGGATTTGAAAAGCGGTTACTGGCAGGATG